TGAATCATTTGATTCATAGTAAAATTGCTAGAATCTTTCTGCATTTTTTTGGGCATGGATAGGGTATCAGTTTTCTCTGGCATTTGGGTTACCTTTTAGTGGTTGTGGATGAGACTTTATGTTGTTTAAACTCATCAAAATGGGTTTTGAATTTATCTTTTAATTTGTAGGGATAGTGTAGGGTTGAGATGGAAAGAATATTTCCTTCCTGGTTAGAATTTGATGCTAAGAGAACTGTGGTTGTCTATCTGAATTACTGCACGTCTATTTGTGATAGGCTGAGGCAAGGCACAATGTGGCCTAAGGTTGGATTGTTTTCATCATCACCATGTCCTCCCATTTTCAAATATGTGAAAGGAAATTAATTACAAATGCCCTGCCACAATTCTTCAATGTTCTTTCTATGTTAAAAAGTCTGTAATTTGCATAATATATATAAACTAATAGATTATTTTATGGAATCAACATCTTGACAGAAGTTATTAAATCTTAGGCTCAGATTATTAAATCCTAGAACCATGTACTGACAGAAAGAATCAAGCATATCATGCCCAATCCATTTTGCATGAATAAATTAAATTTAACGTTTGAATTCTATTGTCTCGCAGATAGAAGTCACCTACAAAATTTTGAGGGATGCATGAAAGTACTTCGTGATGTAGAAGTTGTTATAAGGTGTGATAAAGTACTTAGTTGGAATTGATCAAATCCCAAGTCCTTAAACTGGATTAAGTGGGGTTAAAAGTCAGATACCTCCTTAAAAAAAAAAAAAAAAACTTGATCACAGAGGAGGTAGGTTCTCCAGGTAAATTGGAAATAAGAGGATCTCCCAAACCCAAGGTCTGGAGGTTAAATACACTGTCTTTGAATTCTATTGCCTTGTAAATGAAAGACTCGTACAATGGTTTGTAGGATATAAGTACTTCCTGCTGCAAAATTTGTTTTAAGGCGTGATAAAGTGCTTGAAAATGTATGAAAGTTACATCAAATGATAGAACTTCTTATATTTTATATCCTTGTATCCTTAAAACACTGTCTTTAAAACACATGACAAATTTCAATACATTTCACCTATCTAGTTTGTCATGCTACCTGTAAAAGAGAAAATTTGATCCAATATTAATTTCATATAAATATAAATTGTGATTCTATACCACCAAAAACACGTACTAGATGGAATAAGTAATAGATTGCAAAACTCTTAATCAAAATTTAGATATTTATGTTATAAAAAATCACTTATTTAAATTTTCTTCAAACATTTCTATATCTATTTATGATATTAATGTGAAGAATTTGGTGTTAGCGGATTGCAAAACACACCAATCATCGAATGAAAGGTCTCTCCTCTATTATTAGAAAGTCTCTCTTAATATAATGGTTTGTATTTTATAGTTCAATATAATATCAAGTCTATAAAATACTGTTTTGTACTACTAATTACAATTTTATTTTCAACATCTGAGTTCAGTTATTATATATTAAGTTTTTATATCCAGTTGAACAAGAAGAATGGCATTGGAAAACAAGAAAAATATGAAAGAGCAGTGAACAAAATTAGTTCCATAAATACTGTGTAAATATAAGGGCATGACGTCCTCTCGTGTTTACTTTTTTGACTTCTTCCAACTTCACTAACCTGCCCACACCATTTTTTCTTGCTTTTATTTTTTTAGTACATTGATGGTTAACTCCTTAATATAACAAAAGTTTAAATTTTTAATTTTA